TGCAAACTTCATGATCTGGATAATTTAACCAGAAAAGGCATTATGTCTCATATATTATCCTCTGAATATTCTTCAATACCTATTTTTTACACCTCACACACCTTCAAACACCTCCCACCCCACCTACCCCTCCCACACTCCCCCAAAAAATAAGCAAAAACAAAACTAAGACCCATGGAACAAGAGATTAAAAGCCTCAAAAACACAAATGTCCCAGAAGGAATGAGCAAGGGAAGCAAAGGACCTGTTGGGATTTGCAGTTCCTGCCTTATCTGGGAATTTTTCCCCCTGGATAAACTGTGGCAGTCGCTGTCTTTGGCCTGTGCTGAAGCCAGTGGGAGCTTAGCACAACTCATTCTCTAAGAGCAACTTCTCTGAATAACAAGCAAGCATGGCATGGCAATCACTGAACTGAGTGAATAACGGGTTTCATAGGTGCTGTCAAAAGGAAAATCCCAGCTGGCTCCAAAGAGCTTTCTATGTGTGTTGGCAGGTCCTTGGTATTTCTCCCAGACAGGGAGGGCAGGTCTGAGCCGAGAGCTGAGTACAGCACATCCAGGCTTACATAACCCAAGGGGCCCAGGGTAATCATTAACGCTGGATTATTGCCACTGGCTTTGTGCTGGAGTCACCTGGTTGTTTGGATTAAATGTATAGTGGCCATTTAGACAAGGAGAAGGCGCCTGGCACAAGGACTTCAGTGAAAACAGCCCTCAGGGAGGGCGGGAAGCAGAAGACTGTTGCAAATATCACAGGATCTAAACTCAAGCACTCTCCCAGGGAGCCAGAGCTCTTTCATCACAGCACCCTGCCCCATGGTTTGCTCTCCACAGGGGTGCAGCTCTCCTCAAAACCACCAGGGTAAAAAGACCCCACATCACACAGAGTCCTTGGTGACTCCCACGTGTGGCACACCAGCAAGCAAGATCTCGTTCCTCTCCCCTCGGCATCCTTTCCAAAAGCATTATCAGTGCAACCTGACTTTACCTATGTCCTGTCTGTATCTTTCTTTGCTTATCTGATGTCTCACGTGTCCTATTACTCTCTGCCTCCTGTAACCCTCTGGGTGTTACTGCTCTGTGGTCTGTGCCACTGTCTGGGGCAAAGGAGATTTAGGACTTCTTGGTTCCGCTCCCATTTTTCCCCTCTGTGTTGTTCTGTGGTCTTGGACACATCACTCCACTGCACTATGTTTAGCCACAGGTCACAGAAGTCAGGTCACCTTACAGAAATATCACTTTACTCCCATTCCTCCTGCTTAGTCCTTACCTGGAGTACAACCTCCCCAGCTGGCAGCTCCTTTCCTCTCCTAGCACTACTCCTTCACCACTACCTCTGACAAAGGGACTATAAATCCTTTAAAAGCACACAAAGTTCTGGCAAGCATTAGGAACCAGATCACTATCATTTTGTGAAGGCTATACCGTGGCACACACATCCATTCATACCTCAGAAACCAAATTACACAGGTTTGAATTCAGTGAGACTTAGGCCTGTGTATAACCATGCCATGCTGTGCTTTGCCATGCAGAGTTGCTGAAGCTGGGACAACTTATGTAGTTGTGGCATCAAAACACTTAAATATACGTTTATCTTCAGGAGGATAAAGTCAGGATTAAGGCAAGGCCACATTTTCCTCATGAATCAGCAAAGCCCAACCAGGCCAGTAATTTCACATAAAACAAACATCAAAACCTTTTTTTGCAAATTTCTACTTTTTTGGGACAAAACTCTGCAAATGTCAATCATTTCATGCAGAACTATGCTTATATGGCCTTATTCTTTTCAGCAAAATATTGCAAGTTTTACACAAACTTACATTTCCTTAGGTATTAACTAGAAAAACCCACACTATTCACACTTAAAACCCATACTTAAAACAGACAAGAGAGAAAGGAAAAAAGAGAGAGAATAGGCATTTCATGGAAAACATTACAGACTAAAACAAAATTTAGATTTCTGCCCTGCTGTGCTCCAACAGTAGGCATTCTGCATTATTCCACTTCAGCTTTAAGTATTACCTCTTGCAGAAAAATAGCAACTTCTGCCTCAAAGGTCTTGCAGGGTGAATTGCCCAACTTTACAGCAATATCAGAACTCCAGGTGAGATGGGGAAGAGACTGAGATGCTGGTTAAAATAAAACAGCTGGTTTTATGGATGAAGTGGATAGGGTGAGAACAGAAGGGAATTGCAGATCCTCTTGGTGCAGGCTTGCTAATTAAAGCTTAAAACCGCTGTCCTGAGCACTCTGGTCTTCAAGCTACACCTCAGGAGGTAACAACGACCTGGATTGCACAGAATTTATCTGCCTCATGCCTGGTCCTCTTGCCAGACTCAAAGGGATTCTCTGGGAAAAACAATCAGGGGTCTGGAGAGCCCTGGCTCATCAGCTGGCGCTTTTTGGTGGCTGTTCTTCAGGGAGAGACTTTAATCCCTCAGTGCCTGATAGTCTCAGAATGATTCTTGCTGGGAGAAGATCTGGACCCACTGCACCATTGCTCCCATGGAGACTCAGAAGTGATTTTAACACCAGTAATGTTGCTGGTTTCTTCTTCCAGTGGAGGCCAAAGCAAGCAAAAGCACAAGGCAAGAGATGTCCCAGCTTGCAGATCACAAGAGCAGGGTGCCCATGCCCCTGTTGTTACAAATGGAAGCAATGGCTTTTGCAGAACAGGGCGTCTTCTCCTCAGGCCTGAGGCAATGCTTCCTACCACAGCTCCTTCACATCACTCAGGTGTGGATTTACAGAAGAGCCAACTGAGCTCCATCATGCCAGCCTTTCTTTAACAACCTAATCCTGTGACTACTGCTCTCATTGCTTGCTCCTTCCATCCAAGGATCACACAGACACAAATTAAGTCCCACAGTATCACCGTGATGCATTTTATCCCCATTTTACAGGAGAGGGAACTGCAGAACAGGCAGGAGTCCTTTGTCTTGGGTCACACAGTGAGTCACCGTCACAGTCTGAAGCAGACTTTGAAGCCCTTCCTGCTCCACACTAATCACTAAGCTGGAATTCCCTCCAAACCTGCTTGCTCTACTGTATTAATCACAGTTTTACTGCACCTGTAGACCTGTTCCAGAGCAGTGAGGAGCCACGGAAGGCGTTTGTGTCCCAGCGTGGCTGCCAAGCGAGGCGTGAGGGCTCCAGTGAAGAGAGAGAGCTGAGACATCTCGCACCTCCCAAGAACTTTCTGAGATGAGAAAAACTGAAGATAACTTCAGAACTGATCCATCATCTCCCTGTTACACAGCACCTGAAAAGCTACATCCAGGTGAATCAAAATTTAAAGTACTATTGTCCTGATTACAGAGCTGGCTATAAAGGAAATTAATGAATAATAATTTCAAGGAGGGATTTAAAATTTCCATTTTCATTTTATTGTCAAAGTAAATATATTTTTATGAAGAACAAAAGAAAATATACAGAATTGTAACTTATGTACACTGGCTTTATAGGTATTTTTGTTTCCAATTTACACAAATTTGATACGTTATTAAAAGATATTTTATATAGATATGCATCTATGTACAGTTTTATTTACATACATTCATAGGATGTGATATAAACCAGTCAATAGATGATAGTTCAATTATATTAATTTCTAGAGGACGAAAGGAATGCATTCACTTTAGCCAGACCTGCTGTTTTCACACAGTGTGGGCTCCTGCTCTGCCTAGCTCTAGGATCACACTTTCCTACTTCCCATTTTGCCAACAGAAAAGACAAACAGATGCCGTCTGCGAATGGAAAGGAAATGCAACATCCATTATAAAATCATTCCTAATTACTGAATTCTATTTTCTTCTAAAGCTTCTTACAATCGCCAGAGTTCAAAAGGAAAAACAAAACAAGAAGAAACACAAATAAAATCACTTGCCTGCTGCCATCTGATTATTTGCTTAAATTCCCTTCTTAGCCAGCTATCACACAAATTTGTTTCTTTTGGCTGCTGTTCTCACCCATTCGCCCACCCCAGCTGCGTGGAGCTCTGACATGGCTGTGGGGAGGGACAGGATTAGCACCGAGGATCACCCCAGGAGCTCGATGTCACAGTGCTGTCCCTCCAGGTCATGGTTCCTCCCCTCTCCCTGGGCACAGGCACATCCTGCAGACCCTGCCAGCACACAGAGACTTAGCTCCAACAGCCAGGCTTGACTCTCAGCGGGTTTAGGGATGCTCAGTGCTCACCAGGCACCCCGGGGCTGGGGCTCTGGTTTCTCTCCCAGGTCACACGAGAGGGCAGGAGCAGAGGCAGGAACAGAGCTGGGAGGCTCTCACAAACACCTTTGTGCTGCTTTGTGTGCAGACAGCAGCTCTTCTGCTAAACACGGTGGATGCTGCAAGCCAGCCTCGAAGGAAAGCAGCATCCTTTGGCACCTGGGCATCCTTTCACCCCTCAGCACCACAGGACAGAAGCACACACACAGTTCCAGAGACTCCACTCCAAGCCTTTCCATCCAGCCTGAGCTTCTGGGTTTGCTTGGGACATGTCTTTGCTTAAATATATATATATATATGTATGTATGTATGTATGTATGAATATGTATACATAAATATTTATATATAGCCCTAGCCAAGGGAGAGGTAAATGTGAGCAGGGAAAATCAGAGATGCATGGAGGCACATTCCAGTGCTCTCCAAGCCTTGTTTCCCCCTATCCCCAACTCCCACTGTTCCTCCTCCTATGGCCAGCCCCTACAAATCCTTGGCTCAGGCGACCCAAAAACAAAGGAGTTGTTTTCATTTCAAAAGGAATTTGCTGTTTCCAAACTGGACAAATAGAGCAGCTTAATAAAAATTCACAATGAGTGGCCTGTACATGAGCAAAGCCCTCAGGAATGCCAGGGCTATAATTAACTAGCAGCAAGCAACTTTTACATTTTCCTGTGCAGCAGAAAACAGCTAAAAATAAAACACTGTAATTTCCAAAAGAAGCAGCAGCAAAGGAGAGACAGATAGAAGGAAAATAATATCCTTAAAAAAAAAAAAAAAAAAAAAAAAAAAAAAAGGAAGAAGCGCCCCACTCCCCTGATCTGACCCAAAAAGAGCTTAATTCTCAAATCATCTTTGAAGGACGCAGGGCACTCAAACATGGTGGTATCAAGTAACAGCATTGACTGTTCTGTGGAGACCAATAAATTATCACGAGAAATGTAGTGAGCAAAGTGCTGTCATGGCTGCTGTGGGCGGCTGGCAGAAGGGGAAGCAGGAGCCTCAGTTCACGGAGCGCACGGAGCGGTTGCTGCGGGGGAACCGGTGCACCTTGACGTGCTTGGACAAGTGGTCACTTCGAGCAAACTTCTTCTCACACACTGGACACTGGTAGGGTTTGACCCCTGAGTGGGAGCGCCTGTGCCGGGACAGCTCATCTGACCTGGAGAACCTGCAAGAGAGGAGAAGCCTTTCAGATAAATGCGGGTTTATCGTGCTAAGCCACTCACAGCAAGTTTAAAAATGTCCCCTCAGGCCACTGGGAGACTCCAGGAGGTGAAAGGGACACACAGCAGAGCGGGGCTGGTCCCACCTGCAGGCAGCAGCAGTGATGGAAACACACAAGTACCAACCTCACCCCGTGTCAGCCCCGCACTCAGAGCAATGCCCGGGGGCAGCGTTTGTACCAGCCCTGCCTGGACCCCGTAACGTGGGTACAGCTGGACAAACACAGCACTGCTCCCAATCCCCCTGCCAGTCCCCTCCAAAGCCACCCCCACCATCTGGCTCCTGCAAATCCAAGCACAGACTCCTCGAGCAGACACAACCCCTGTGCTGCAGGTGAGGTCTGCTTCAAGCTCCCACTGACACGAGCACAACAGACACCCCCTAACTGCACCCAGTTTGGGAGGGATTCCAGATAAATCCAGCCATAGCTACCTAGAAACAACGTGACTTATTAGATCCAGATGAAAAATTGGCTTCTGTGTGTGCTCCTGCAGGCTAAATAAAGAGTCATTAACAGGACCAGAGATGCTCAGCATCTCAACAGCTGAAATTCAGGTGGGCCTTAATGGTCATTAGCATAATTATTTGCATAGTTAACATGGGTAAATTAAATCAAGAATGAGCCTTTAATTACCAAAACTGTATTTCATAGTCTTTTGAATTTTAGATATTTTTCACCTTCCATCTCCACGGAAAAATCTCCAAATAGCTACCACGAATCCCACAGGCTTTATTGATCCCAAATGAGTTAATCCTTTGGTCTTAAGAGCAGGGCTGGCTCTATTTCCACTTTGGACCTGACTGGGATACAGAGGGTTAATTAACAATGTCACACTAAAACAGCCCTGTCCAGATGGGTACAAAATGGGTACAAAAATTTGCTGCCTGACAAAGGGCAATTAAGTATTTTGTTGCCAGAGCAGTAACAAAGAGCAGCACAGAAAAAGAGCTTGTAAGAAATGGTATCAGCTGTTTATTTACAATAAATAAGTGAAGTCATGGGCATTAGCTGAACAAATCAGGGAAAGAACATGTAGAAAAATGTGCCCTTCTGGAGCAAAATATCACATCACCAACAGAGCAAATAGGCTATTTTTATGAAAGGGAGAAAACAGGACTGCTGGGCTCCTATGAATAAATCCCTAATGCAAGAAAAGTAAGTTTCCACATAAAGGTTTTAATTAGCTCTGATCTCCCGCCAACAGTTGAGGACCAGGGCATAGGCACTGGGAAAGCTGGTAGTGGTTTCCTCAGTTCTGCAGCTCTTCAGCCTGGTTATGCTCCCCAGAGAGCACTCAGCCCGTGGAAAGCAGACACAGGCACTCACCATGGGTAAGATATAGTGGGGACACATCTCTCCCAGGGGCATTTCTAGGGGAGATTCTTTCACCTATTCATTTGCTTTTCTTCCTTCCTTGCTCTGGTATCCTCATGGCAAAAGAACCAAATTCTCCATGAAGAACAGGCAGTTGTTATGGAGCTGTCAACCTTCTCCTTGTCTGGGATGAGTTTTCTTCATAAAGGCTAGGACAGAAGTTTCCCTTCACGCCTTCTACTTGCATGCTTGCTTTCTCTAACACCTCTGGTCTTTTCAGCCATGGCTTCCCAAAAACACAGTCTGGACCTGGGAGCAGCAGGGCCAGGGATTTCTCCCAAGTCCTTAGCAGTGAGCTAGCCCCAGTGCCAGATCCTGCAGGGATGCTCTGGTAGGGCTATGGGTGAGTGTAGGATGCTGCCTGTGCAGCCTGCCTCCACAGGACTGAGTGTTGGAAAGGAACAGACCCGTGCCAAGGAACAGACCTGTGCCACATCCAGGGAAAAGAGGGAGCAGAGAAGGAAAGGCACTTTTGCAAAGAGCCATCCTCTTACACACAGAATTTAAAGAAGCAGAACCAGATGTGGCTGGGTTGCCTTGTCCTATGTCCTCGGCCATTAAGGTCACCATCTGCAACAGAAGTGCAGCAGCACTTGGCTAATGCTGCACAAGAGCTTCACAAGTGCATTTCGAGGGGAATTGCACGGATGGTGGGGGAGAAAGAGGAACATGTCAGGAATGAGCTTGGATGAGTTCATCTGATAAAAATACACTCTGCCTCATAACCATGTCCTTAGCTGAAGAGGCAGGAATGTTGCAATACTGTTCCCCAGCAGTGACGGAAAGATCAACTTACAGAGCCCACAGAAATAAACCTCAAGCTGTCTGTGTGTTTACAAAAAAACAACGCAAAGGTTAGGACAAGGAAGCTGGGAGGATCTGGCGGTCTGGCTCTGCAGTGAAATATCTGTAACACACTCTGGCACTGAGATCAACCCAAAAAAAGTGAAAAAATCCACTGTGGAATGCAAAATTAAAAAAAAAAAAAAAGAAAAAAAAAAAGGAAACACCAAGGAATACCTCACTATTCTGTCACTGCCATTTTCAGAAGGATTCTTCCTTCAAAGGAAAAGTAAAAGTGATCTGGGAAATCCCACAACAACTAAAAGAGCCTTCTTCATCCTTCTATCTGGCAGGACCTCAAGGGACTGTAACTACATCTCCCTTGAACAAAAATACTAGAGCTCCCTGATGTGTAGGATGTGTCCTGTGTCTCCCAGAGATATGGGGACATTCCTCTATGGCTTATGGGGCAAGAAAGGTCAATAGCTTCAGTCTGGTACTCCTGGTCCCTGCCAAGGCCACCAGCCATTGAGGCCAACTCAGGCTGTACCTCTCCTCCACAGTGGAGGGGAGGCTCCAGATTGATTCCTCCTGGCCATCCCCAGAGCTTTCCTACGAGAAACCATCACAGCTCCTGTGCACCTGTCATCCCCTTGCACAGCAGCAGCAAGAAAAGGCACTGCAAGATGCCTACCCTTCCCCCTGTGTGGCACTGCCCATGGTCACTCAGGCCCAGGCACACTCCTGGCCACACGTGTTACAAGGCTTTAAACCCTCCCTGCCAAACCAGGCAGAGCTTCTGGCCCCTGCTGTCACCTGTGGAGCCCGCAGCCAGACGATGCAGTGGGCATTTAAAGGTGATTGCCTCATCCCCCAGCCTTGCAGCAACTGCAGATTTGCACGGTGCTGTGCCAGGGAGGGGAGGCAGGAGCTTCTCCAGCCCACGCTGCAGATCAGCTCTTTGGCCTGAGCAGGGCTAACCACAGGCTGGGGTGCCAAAGGTGGAAGGTGGCACGACACAGATCAGTGCCCTGACCCGTGCAGGGAACACAACGGGTCACTGGCCACTGCCAGGTGAGCACCACTCTGCAGATGCCAAAAACAGCCCTTGCCCCGTGCCCAGGAAGGGCAAAACAAGCTAGGGGTCTCCAGCCATCCTAGGGGTTAGCAAAAGGGTTTACTGGGTGCACACTCCAACCCTGGTGAATTTAAAACATCCTAGCAGGGCTGCACAGAGAGCCAAGGAACCTTTAACCCTCCCACTGAGCCCAGGCACTTTGTGCTAGGCAACACTTTGTTTTGGTTTGAAATTACTATCTCCAGTGAGATCAGCTCTTAAGTGTCTTCAGTGAAAAAATAAATACACAAGCATAAGAATGCAGGGAAAAGAGGGGGAAAGCAGAGCCCAGCAGTGGTTTAGTGCTTAAATTCATCTGAGATTATGTAGACCTGGGAGCAAACAGAGTGGCCAGATGCATTGGACTTAAGTCATGTGAGACTTAAGTCACAGCTCTCACTGAACTTCTGAAAAGGTAAACATGGTTTATTGATGAAAGGGGACTGAGTAATTCAACGCTCAGTTGGTTCTGGCCTTTGATGTGGGAGCAGCACGCAGGAGATGTGCAGCAATCTCAGGCTGGAGCTAAGGATTGCTGTGAGCACAGGAGGCAGCCCCCCAAACACAGCCTCTCCTGCTGGCTATAAACTTCTCTTGTAGCAGAGCCCTTCCAAAGTTTAGGGGTTTTGGGGATTGGGATGGCAGCCCAGGCTGTGAAATTCAACAAGAAAAACAGCAAAAGAGTTTGAAAAGCCCTTTGCAACAGCTGTTTGTGAACAAGACACATGTTCTTCATTATGAAGGTGATTAATTTCTCATTCATGTTGGGCTCATCTTTAGAAAGTTGTGGTGGCTAAAAGTTCAGGGTGTTCCAGGTTGCAGGACCTGCACTTCTTTTGGCCCACCAGCATCCTGCTTTTGATGTAAACCATTCACTGCAGCACTTTGAGAAGAGAAGCACCTGTTGTAAATTAATCATCCTTTATCACATAATATTTTTCCTGAACGTTCCCCTTGGTTTTGTATCTTTGTATCTGGAACACCAGCTTTGTGATAAGACAGAGCTGGAGAAGGTCATTCACAGGCAATGCTCTAGGCTCCTGATCTTGAGCCACAAGTCACTGGGAGTGCTGGTACAAATCTCAGCGTGGATTAGACAAACCCTCACATGCCACCTGCATTTGTCACAAAAAGGAGAGCTGTGCTACATCCCAGAGCAAGGAAAGCCAACATGACACCCACAGGCACATCTGCTGCCGTGCACACGTGCTCTGGCAAACAAATAAAAAGCATAATAAATAAATAAAATAAAAGTGCCTGTACTGAAGGTCAGGAGCAACCAGCCCAGAGTTTGTGGGATCAATCAGCTGAAAAAAGCAACTTTGGTGAGAGGGCACCCTGAGCAGCAACAAACTGAACTCATGAGAGGTGCAGCCAGGACAACATGAAACAAATCACCACCAGTTTGTATCACCATAGTCTAATCTCCTCAGCCCTTCTGAGAAGCAAACTTCAGACTGGTCCAGCTGGGGAAGAGAGGGTTCAGCTCCACTGTGACCTTTTCCCTCAAACCAACCCAGCCATCTCTAACTGCTGCATGTCTCACATACTTGCATTTTTACACAACACTCTCCTGTTACTTTTTACCTCTTCTGTTGCCCATGATCACAACCCATTTTCTCATTAGACATTGCTCACTGAAGCTCTGCAGCATATTATTTGCAGGAAATTCAGTTTAACACAAGGTAGTTAAGATTATATTTTCTCCCATCGTTGTGGTGCTGTACATTAGCACTTGCAAGTTGATATTTTTTTTAAAAGACTAAATTTTTCAAGTCACATTGAAAATAAAATATTAAAAAAATGCCCTTGCAAAACATTTTCTCAATCAAACCTGCGATCTTTCATTCAAGCAATGCTTAACTCCACCTCAGCCTTCTGGTTATGTTGTTACATCTGACAGCTTATTTGGAACTTTGAGTGGCACCCACGCATTTTTCTGAATCAAGACAGAGAATAAAACCCAGAGTATGCCAGAGTGTCACTGCCAGAAATTTCAGAAGGAGTGGGATGGAGTGCATTTTCTATGAAAGTGCACAGAATACTGCTTTTAACCACACTTGCTTATCACAGCCCTTCACTAACCACGTTTAGTCCCACACAGGGCTGTGCACAGCAATTCTGCCCTAAACCATCCAGCTCACTCAGCCTCAGCTGGTGCCAGCCATGGGTCTGCTGGGGCTGGTGTGCTGCAACCACACCAATGCAAACCTCTGGTAAAAAGCTTAATCTGACCCTCTAGAATGAAATAAAAATTATGATGGACTACTTTTATTTTTTTTTAAGACACTAAAACTGCTGGTGCCAGCAGGCGATGCTGTGCTATTTAATTTATCAAAACTCCTGGGTTACCTAACAGGAAGAAAAAAGGTCTTCATTGTCAAACCAACCAAACAAGTTATGTCAACAGAAAGAGTTTATAAATCAGAGTACAAACCTACTTGCTCAGCAAGTTAGGTCAAGTGAGCAAAAAGGGGAAGGAGGATTGGACAGAGCTGCACCCCAATACTGACCTCCATCCACAACCTGGCCACGTGCACGCAAAGGGCTTTTCTCCTGTGTGCCTCCTCAGGTGGGCTTTCAAATGGCTGCTTTTCGTGTACATCTTGGTGCAACCAGGAAAAGAACATTTATGCATTTTAATGAGTTCAGCTGCGGGGTTCTTTTGAAATTTCTGCCCCATGATGATTCCCGTCTGCCCCTGGATCATGCCTCCTGGCCCAATTGGCTTGGCAGCAATGGGGACGGGAGCAATGCGGACAAATTTAGAGGACAAGTTCAAATTGGACGACTGAACTATCTGAGGCACAAGGGCAAATGTCTGTCCTTGGATGTTGACTAGGAGCTGTGCAATTTTAATGTTCTCCTGTGCTGGTCCTTGGGAACTGGGGCTCGTGTTGGACTCCTGTTTGATCTGTACAGGCTGAATTTGAAGCATAACTGGTATTCCATTCTCCAGGGTCATTCCTCCAGTTGAAGCCTGGCCACCTTCTGTTGAGCTGGTCAACTGTTCACTTTTATTCTCTTTTAAACTAGTACTGGGTAACATATGGTCTTTTTGCTGCAGTGAAGAAACAGAAACCTGGCTGCAAGCTCTCAAGTCCTTGGTCTCGCTTTTAGGTCTTTCTTTGAGCTCCAAGTCCATGTTCTCCTCCAAAAACTCCTCAATTTCCTCAAGCGTGGGCTGAAATGGTCCTGAGTCTTCCATATCCACGCCAAATTCAGGCAACCTAAAGTACTCCTCTTTCACTATTGGCTGAAGTCTCCTTTTGTCCCACCATGATGCAGTGGTGTTCCCCAAAGATGCCTGGGACAATAAATAGTCTAAGATACTGTCCTGACTTTCTGCACTGGATGTGCTTCCATAGCTGGAGCTGAGGACCTGGGAGTCAGGGCTGGAACAAGAACAAAAGCTGGACGAGTCACTGTCATCTTCTGACAGGGGAGAGGGCAGCATTTGGTAGGACCTCACGCCTGCTGTCATGTCCCCAAAGTATCCAAGAGAAGATCTTGTGGATGAAAAGGATTCATCAGTAGGCAACAAGTGATCCACCATTCCTGGATGATCTCTTAAGGATATCCCAACAGCATATACCAGGCAGCCAAAGTTCAGGTGAGAGCCTGAGTGCAGGAAAACAAAACAGCAACAGTCAGAAGTTGGTTTAATCATTTATCTCCATGAATTGAAGCTCGTAAAGCCCTCTAGCCCACAGGAAAGTCCAGAGCATCCAGCCTCCCTGGGTACACAGGCTGCTACAAGCTTTGATATGTCTGCACCACCCCCCGAGAACTGTCAGGGCTGAAGCATTTTGCAGGATTGCACCACATATTTGCAAAAGAATGCTGTCAGAAATCATTTCCCAACTGTGTGTGCTCCAGATTTACAGCTCCCTTACAGAATATTACCGGCGAGAGAAAATAAATAACGAGCTTTCACCTAGCAGTGAAATCCAGAGCCAAAGAAGGGAATGGGAAGAAAAAAAAATAAAGTGTTGAAATTTTTACCACCAAAAAGAAACAAATAAAAAAACTTTATTGCTGGCGGCCATAAAATGCAAATCCTTTCCCTATCTTGTAGCTTTCCACCAACCTTATTTTTAACTTCTTCAGTTCTACAAATATAGACTGTTCAGCATAATGCAAGGATCAATCTGGCAGGAGCCAAAAATATTTACTGTGCTTCAGCATTTACAAGGCGGATTTTCCCCTCCAGATGTAATGAATCAGTGTGCCAACGTCATCATCACCTGCGCTGTCCTTAATAAGGCTGGCACTGCACGGAGCTAATTACCATGCCCTGGCTGCCAGCTGGTGGCTGCTTTCACCCTCTGCTCCACGCTGCTCTCTCCGGGGCAGAGGCGAGCTGAGCCCCGTGCCAGCATCAGAACCGGGAGGGATGCACGGGACCGGCATCAGAACCGGGAGGGATGCACGGGACCGGCATCCCGAGCTGCCCCCGCTGCCCCTGTGCTGAGGAGCAGCATCCCACAAATCCCGGTTTACACGAGCCCTAATCCCGCTACTAACCCAGAGCAGAAACCCCAGCGCAGCCCCCCTCAGTGCCCGCTGACAGCCGCGACTTCACCAGCTAAGACAAGCGAACTTCCTAGAAAGGCGCCTGGGGAGGGGGAGGCAGGAGGGACATCAAATGTTTTTTTTTATTCCCCACCTCCCCGAGGGAAAAAACAAAAATTGCTTACGGACGGAGATTGTGCCCCTTATAGAGCAAACGCAGAGACCTCGGGACGGAGCGAACACTGGCCCTCAGTCATTTGCTCAAGGTGACTGATTGAAAACAGAGCTGTACATGTGCATAATAAAACAACTCTTTCTGTGGAAGGTATGTGGAGTGCAGAGATAGAAGTCATTCGATCAGCCTATGGAGAGAGAGGAGAGGCTGTGTGTGTGTGAATTAGGAGGCATGTGACCCAGCGTGAAGGAAATGCCAGTCAATCTTGTTACACGCTGTCATTTTCCACAGGCTCTGCCGCTGCGCTTTGGACGCTTTGCCATGAATAGTCAATAGCTCTCAGTTTTGTGCAGGAGAGAATGGTTGTTACTGCTGCTGCAGAGTATCTTTGCTGCCTTATCTCCAAAATTTGCCCTGTCTTTCCTTCTCTGGAGAAAAATCAAAAGGTGTCTGTATGCTCAGTGCTGCAGTGAGCACAGAGCGAGGTGTTTTACACAACACCCTTAAAGAGCTCTGTCCCATCAGCAACATCTATATTTCACAGGAAGAGGGGGGTTGAAAGCCATATTTCTTAAAGATATGGCTTCCTCCTTCACATACACGTGGAGGAAACACAGATGGGTTTAAAGAAAGACTTAAAAGTACGATTGCACATTTTCCTGGTCTATGTGTCCTGTCAGTCAGCTATGCCTCTGAACCAATAATGAAATACCTACATGTGCTGAACACGAGGAAGTTCAAACAGGGGTTAGTGGCTCAGTTTTGTGACCTTAGCTTATAATCATGTCTTATAGTAAAAGTGAAGAGTCAGAAGAGCTGAACTATCTCTAACACACTTTTTTTTTTTTTTTAATCGCTGTGCTGATGGAAAGTTCCCCCAGCAGAAATCCCATAGCTGAGCTATTCCAGTTTAGAAACAGAAAGCACCATCTGCTTCTGACGAATTAGTATTGGCATCTGGTAAGAATTCACCTAAGCTGATTGTTTCTATCTTGCACCAAAAACTGGTGACTGCCTTGAGAAACACAGGGCAGAAAGGAAGACTTGCCCTCAGACAGTTTCTGATCCTCCCTCCAATGTCTGTATTATTCCAGCTTAAACTTCTGAAGAATGGAGCTGGGAGGGAAATCTGGACTGCAACATGTGCTTTTCTAAGAAAAGCTGGCATGCTCTGCGTGCACCAAAAGCAGTTGGTGAGCTTCTTTAAAAAAATAAATTAAAATCTTCAAGGTTTTTTTAAATGCCTGCAAGAGCTGGGAAGCCACATATCAAAATATCCATATATTTCCCTAGGAACAGAACTAAACTGTAATTTGAATAAAAAGACTTAAATGAGGGGGGAAGAAAAACAACAGTGAACCCCTAGCAACTGCTGTGGGCCAGTTACCTCAGCATAAAACAGCCAGCAGGCTTGTTTCCCATCTCTTTTGACAAGGAACAATGTCACTCGATGTAACCAGAGGCTTTTTAAGAGGGGACTGTCAGAGCCAAATAGATCCAGGCACATTACGGGCCAGCTCTGCTTTCTGTGCACTCTCAAAGCTTGCAGAACAGCCAAGAAGATTTTGGAGAATGCCTGGAATGCAGGATTGGGCCCTGGGTATATTTTTCTCCTAAAGGCCAGGCTAACAACCAAAAGGCTTTCATCGTTACTTTGCCTGAAGACACAGCCAAAAACAGATTAGAAAACAAAACCAAAAAAAGCCGGGGCTGTGAAGGCTGTGAAAACTAATGATGCTGTTTCCACAACGCACTTTCATCTCTAGGAACATTGAAAACATGTTAGAAATGTAAGCACCTATAGCGAGACCGCAGTGCCTGAGCCATTGGAAACAGCACTTTTGGAGTGAAATACAGCAGCTGTTCAGCAGCACCACCATCTCCAACTTTTTTTTTTTTTTTTTTTTAAGAGAGTTCTCTGGGTTGTTATGATGTCCTTTCTGCCAAAAACATGTTGTTCTGTTTAAAACCTAATTGCCAGCTAAAAAAAATAATGACAAAAAGCAAACCAGAGAAGACATATTTTGACGCGGAACAACATTGAAATGTAAAGTCCTGGGAACTTGCTGAAACACAGGGATGTATTTCCCAGCCTGTCATTTCTGGACAGTCAGCCCAGCACAACTGATCACACAGCATATATGAGACGCTGACAGTCATTTCCTACGTTTACAGCCACAGCTTTTTCTAGTTTAAGACTAATCTCTTCAGGGTTTTCTCTTGCTCCCTAGAAGGTTTTAAATCTGTTCAGGCTGACTTCTGCTCCACAGACAGAGCCATAAACAAGGCAATGAAGTAGGCCCAGAGTTTCTAAGAAATTAAAAGAGAAATGCAGGGAGGGAGGGGGAAAAAAAAAATAAAAAGAAGCCGTGAGCCAGGAGTAAACACATTTGCTCTCATCTCTTCCGCAAGGTGGCTGTGCTGCTCCCCGGACACAGGGGGGTGTTCAGGTTTGTTTTTCCAAACCCGTTGCTCCTGGGAGGCTGTAGAAACATTCCCAAAGCCTTCTTTTCTGAAAACTCAGCCGCTCCAGCCCCAAACTTTGGCTTCCACAAGGGGAAGCACTTCACCTGCAGCGGGCACAGGCAGTGGCCCCGCCGGAGCGCATCCCGCGGGTTCTGCACGCCGGCAGTGAAAGGTGCCCCGAAATAACGCGTGGCACAGGGAAAGGGGTGCCAGGGGACACTCACATGGCATTACCACTCCAGCACGAGCACAGCCAGGCTTCCATGGCTGCAAAACATGCCTGTTTGGGTTGTTTCTTTTTTAATCGTGTATTTTTGTTTGTTTGTTCCGTTTGTAAAGGTTTGGGGGTTTTTGTTTTGTTTTTGTTGGGTTTTTTAAAAATTATTATTTATTTTATTGTTTTTTCCTTCCTTCTCTTTTCAGAAGCTTTGGGCGCCCGAGCTCTCTCTCTCCCCGCCACAAGAGTGGTCGCGATGATCGGGAATAAACCTCCCGCTCGCCGCCTGTCACTCCATGCACGGCACCGCTGCAGCCCCACAACAGCCCCCCAGCCCTGGCCGCTGCCCCGCCGGGGATGGAATTTGGGAATTCCCTGTGGCAGCTCCGCAGGGGCACAGCCCCGTCCCGCGGTGCTGCGGCAGCGGAGGCTCCGCCGGCGGGACACGGCCCCGAGCCCCCCGCTCGCCCTTACCTGAACTCCTCTGCGAGCCGGACAGCAGCAAAGGCCACGAGAGACCAGAAGAACGCGACAACAACAACAAGGAAAACGAGTAGGGGAAATACCCCAAACAACACAACCAAGCCACAGGAGAAAAAAAAAAAAAAAAAAAGGCAAAAAATAATTCTCGAAAAATAATAAAATTTTAAAAATCAAAGAAAAATTTAAAAAGCCACAAACACAGGATTAAAACCCAGCAAAGCCCGAGCAGCAGCCCGCGGAGGCAGGACACAGGACAGGAGCGGCCGGCAGCGCGGAGCGGGAGGCGGGCGCTGCTCCCCCGGGAGGCGGGTGCGGGCTGGGAGCGCGGCCCCGCTCCCGTAGTACTATATCCCTATATCCCCTCACATGACGGGAGCGCGGCCGGGGGAGGCCGGGGAGAGGCTCGACCGCGTCCGCCTCCCCCATTGGCCCCGCCGCGGCGGGGGCCGGCCCGGCACCGGCCTCAATGGGAGCCGCGCCCGGCCCCGGGGCGGTGACACGCCGCGGGGAGATAGGGAGGGGGAAAACCGCAGGGATGAGGGGTGCGAACCGCCGGGGATGGAGGGTGCGAACCGCCGGGATGGAGGGAGCAAACTGCCGGGAATAGAGGGAATAAACTGCTGAGGATGGAGGGGGAAAACCGCAGGGATGCGCGAACCGCCGGGATGCAGGGTGCGAACCGGGATGCGCAGTCCTGGAAACGAGCGTTCGGTGGGGCCTGTGGCCGCAGGACGAGGGGCAATGGTTTTAAATGAAAGGAGGTTGGTCTGGATTCGGTCTATAGGAAGAATGTTTTACAACGAAGGTGATGAAACACCGGAACAGGTTGCTCGGAGAGCTGGTTGATGCCCCATCGCTGGAAACATTCCAGGTCAGGTTGGACGGGGCTGTGAGCAATTTGATCGGGTTGAAAACGTCACTGCTCCCTGCAGGAGATGGCCCAGGTGGCCTGTTCATGTCCCTTCCAACCCAAACCATTCTGTGAATCTGTGAGTGTGCAAGCCCCTGGACATGTCCTGGAGATAAGCCAGTCCCTGGGAAGATGTGAGGAGTCCCATACCCTCCCTCTTGCCCTACACTTGCACACCTGCCCCCTTCCCACCTGCCAAAGCTTGATGGGAGGATTTCCAGCATGCTAGAAAGTATTGGGATGTGTGTCCCACACACACATCCCAGTGTTGCTACAGACATCACTGTAGATTTTCATAGAAACACACATAATAATTTTTATATATGCATACACATACATATATACACAAACGCACTATAGTTATGAAATACTTGGTATGGATCAGGATCTATGTTCAGCTCTTGCAGAGGAAGTTCACAGTGGGGCCAGCTGCAGCAGCAGTCATTGAGCATTTTTCTGCTCAATCAGTGGTTTTTCAAATTCCGTTTTTCCTTTTTCCAGATTTCTTGGGAAATCTGCAGCCTGGGATATCAGAATGCAGTCTTATGACAACAGGTCTGTGCACCCTTTTTTGAGAGCACATAGGACAGCACTCCATTCCTTCTCCCCACAGTAGGCCTTGCTGTCCTGCAGGGAAAACGAAGTATTATTCTTATTTTATGGCAAAATGGAGGCACAGAGGATCAAACAAAAGGTCTGTGGCAGAACCAAGATGTAGTCTCATCTCTTTTCAAATCCAGCTCAATTTAAACTCTCAAAAATATCCTCCATCTGCATTTCTTCAGAGTTGCCAGTAACACATCCCACAGCCTGGCAAACATGGACTGGTCTCTTCCCAAGAGGACATTCAGCCTCAACAGGTCCTGGCTGGGAAGCAGCACGGGGGTGACCCTACAGGTGCTCCTTCATCCCCCTGGGGACAATCAAAGGACCTGGGGGTGCTCAGGGCTCTGCTCTCATGCACAGACCTCGTTCTTCCTCTCCACATTGTGTCAATGAATAATGCATGAATACATACTCATCAAAATTCTAGATACTATATTTATACGAATACATCAGGGCCAAATTCTGCATTAGTATCACTTCACTGACGTAAAAAGGATTGCGTTGGTAAAAATGTTGGCCTTAAATATTTTTACCCAAAATAGATGTTTGGCAAACCTTGCTTTACTGCTTTTTCTCAATTAAAACCCTCTTTGTTTCCTGAGTAGGTGAAGTTTAGTGTGATTTAGCAATGCAAAGGACATGAAATTTAGATACAGCTAAAATCCAAGCCCTCGAGGCCGGGCTTTAATGGAATTTGAATTGTTGGCTGTACATGGAAAAAATTTCCTTGTAACATTTATTACATGAAAACAACCAAAAGTTGCAATCTTAATTTTATCATTACTATAATCTACCTAGGCACTGGGACATGTTAGAGGTTTCTCTAACTTGCATTCTTCCACCTGCAAAAGGCAATGTCTTCATATTTTAGTCACAGTAGTTCTGAACTTTGTGTAAATTGCTAGAGATGCAGTGAAGTCCCATATTTACCTTATGTGGAAATAAAGGTGTTTTCCCCGTTCTGCTTTTCAAGTTTCATCCGTTTTACTGAGCCCACAGCCTTTTCACTTCCCTAAAAGCATCACTGGAGGCTGGGTCCTTTGCCCACTGTGCAGCTGCAGGGCTGCACTGCTGGCTGTCTCTGGGGCTGGAGACGGGAAGGTGAGAAGTTTTCAGGGGGCTCAAGCAGATCCCAACACGTGCTGCTGCAGGAGGGGATGCACAGCCACCATCCCTTGTGCCAGCACTTTGCCCCTGTGTGGCTGCATGTGGTGATGGAGGAGGGATCTGATACTTTTCCACATCTGAAGAACCCTAGTGAACATCTCAGCCTTTCAATACTGCTGTGAGGTGAAATGCAATGGAAAATATCAGGAAAATGTAACTAATCTGTACTTTTCCCTGATATTTCCCTGTGGGGAAAAAAAAATTATTAGAAATGCAGGCAGGCAGTGCACAGCACCTGGGAAGTAGGTCCAGAGCACACAGAATGAACCCTGACCAAGCTCACTCACACACAGTGTGACAGGTTCTGGATGCACCAATCCTTTTCCATATGTCCAGATCCCCTTTTCAGGGCACACAGAATCCACGGGAAACTTCAGCACAGCCCTTGTGTGTAGGACTGTGCCTTCAGCATTCCTGGATGTCCAGAACTCTTGTAGAAGTTGCTGCCCTGACCAGGCCGTTGGACATCAGAACACCCTGGACAAATATCCAAAGTCCTCTTTTTCTGCCCAGGCAAAATTTCTAGACAGAGACAAAGGACATGTTAAAACCAAACAAACAGGAGATACAATGGCACAAGTTCTGATGCCTCACTACAGCACAAACCTGACTTCTTAGAGAATAATGGGAAAACACACAAAAGTCACTGCCTCCTAGAATACTAATCTGGGGTCGTCCTTGCTGAAACATCCCCACAGCTTCATCCATTACAGCATTTTTCCTGAGCAAGGATTTTAAAAGAGAAATTTCCTTTCTCAGCTGGATCATATTTTGTTATCCATGAGTCTACTGGGAGTGCCTGGAACTGCAGACCAGGTTTTTGAGGTCTGCAGGCACACTTTGGGGCTTAAACCCAAAACTGAAGATGACAGGCTGCAGTGGCAGGTGGCAGCCTCTGAGCTGACTCAGCCACTTTTCCATCCCTCCGTGATCTCTGAATGCACTTCTCAAGCTGTGAACTGGTTAATTCTTCTGAGCCCCATGACAGTGAAAGCAAGCTGACACACATCTAAGTTTTGCTCAAGGCTTTGGAAACACTACAAGCCTTTATTAAGAGCAGGGGAAACGCACAGATCTAGACAAATATAATTACTTCTGATCCCTTATTTCTGCCAACTTTTCATGAGAACCAGCAATGACTGTTGGGCTAGGACAAGATTCTGGGAATGAATTTTTGTGCATCTGTGACTGATGTTTCACATAAGTGTCCTTCATTTGGTACTGCAGCACAACTGAGCCCTCATTCCATGCTATGAAATCCATCCAAATTTTCCCAACCCATCCTTTTTGTGAATCACTAAGAGATTTCCTTCCCTTTTTTTCACCTCTTCAACAACTCCTTTGAAAATCTATTGTTACTTCTGTCCCTTGATATTACTTGGGCATTTTCCATTCTCTCTTTTGCCACCTTTCAGGAGAGAACTTCAGTCAAACTGATTGCCCTGCTCAGACAGCTTTCCTGGCATTGGCACAGCCCCGTCAAACACCGGGGATAACACAGAGTAAAGGTCCTTTTAACTGGCTTTTGTCTTATGGTTGTGTGCTAAAGATCTAGTCAGGAAAGGCAGATAAACCTCAGCATTCAAGCTTTTAAAATTTTCCTGAAGGTTATTATTGCCATGCTTAATAAAGTTAAAGAGGAGCTATAGGGCTGAACTATTCATGAGTTGTTCTGTGCCACATGCACGGAGCCATTAAAGGTGGGAAAGGCAGCGAGGGGTTCCTCCATGCAGTTTACACCTGAGAATTGTCTGGCTCTGCTCATCTCTGCCTTTCCATACGTGCTCCACAGAGGATGACTTTTCCTGACTCGGATTTTCTCCTCTTTTGTATGTTGCTTGCACAGTTCTGTGTTACAAATTACTTCTCTTTTTTCAGGGGACTTGAAGGAAAAGTGAACTTCATGGATGGGCAAAAAGAGGGATTGTGTCACACTGGAAGAGCTCCTTGCGATCTTTAGAGGTCACCTGTGGTATTTCTGTCCCAGCCCTTGCTATTTCCCATTTACTGCAGCAGCAAACTATTAGTAATCTGATGAGGCAACCAGCCACCTGACAAAACAAGGGCTAGTCAGGCTGAATCGATTATTCATACATTTCCATCTGATTTACAAATCAAAGTTGCTCTTTTTCCAATGAAAGAAGCAAAAATAATTAAGCAGAGTTAAAAAAAATTTAAATGTTCAAATTCTATTTGTTGGTTTTCTATGTTGTTTGGGGTTTTTTTTCAATTTTTTAAAATTGGTTTCCTTCAGATGGATCCTTTCCATGTGCCACAAAGCCCACGGTCACATCCAGCTGAGCTCTACTGGGCTTTGGCTTTCAGCACCATAACAGTTACATGGGGACAGAGGGAACAAAAAAGCCTGTCAGACTCTCCAGTAATGTTATGATCACATTAACTTAGCAGTCCTTGACACTCACAGATAAGGACTGTAAGTTCTCTCAGTACTACAGAAATATTGACACAAAGAATATGTTTATCCCTGGCTGTGTCTCTGCAGGACAAGGTGGAAACAGCAACAGCAATCTCAGGACTTGATTTCTTTGGCCTTGCCAGGGCATCTGTGCTGCAAGGCCAACAGTTTATTGATTTTCGGTTTTTTTCTTTCCTCCACTGGTTTGGAAATTATGTTGTCTTTACAAGTCAGAATCATAGGTCCAAGGGGAGATATGTTGGAAGAAACTCATTTTAGGATTTTCTTATACTATTACACTATTGACTGTTAAAGACAGTGGGGGGACATGGGGAGAGTTTCTGATTTTCTCCCAAACTTTCTGTTCATTAATATTCTGAAATAGAAAATATTAGCTGACCTTCTGGCTGAATTTCTCTAGGCCATCTTCAGCCAGGTCCAGCTCCAACCTGGGGTTTCCATATACAACCCCTGCACTTTAATCTGTCAAAAGCACCCCCAGAGAGAGCTGCTCCTGCTGACACCCGAGGGAATCAGACCATCTGCAGGGACAGGAGTGTGCTGAGTGTGTGATGCAAAAATTGTGCCATCACTGCCTCCCCTGGCTTGTGGCGAGGTGAAGCACAAGAGCTGGGGCTCGGCTCCCTAAACCCTGGTGCTGAATTTGCCCAGCAGCCCGTGGAACACACAAGGCTCATTGCAAGGGGTTCGAGAGCAAGGGGCACAGCCCAGCCCACGCCGCCCCTCCCGAAGATGACTCAGGGACAGGCAGGACTGTAAATGTGACAAAACCCACTGACTCACCTGGAGGAGATCCACAACCCACTTCTGCCCATCCAAGTTCAGGAAAGCAAAATATACTGGAAGACGTACAGGAAGATCTGGAATTGGATGGATGTTGGCTCCAGCTCAGGAGTGGATCTGCGATAAACTGTATTCCCCTGCCCTCTCCTGGAAGGAATACGCCAGGGCTGGGTGCGTTTGTGCAGGATCCTTGTGCGGGGAAGAGGCTCAGGGAGGTGGTGAGAGGAGATGCTGGTTTTGGAGGCAGTGTTTACAGGGCTGAACAACTGTGACCATGCTGTGTCCACCGTGCTTTGCCAACACCACGTCTGCCAGACACTGGCGCACCTCTCGAGAATTTGAATGTCTTCAAGGAAGAGCTGCCTGCCTGTCTGGCCATTTGCACTGAATTGGGAAACAGAGCAGGTGACTCAACCGAGGGAATCCAGAGCCTCTCGCTCACCTTAAATAGCAAACACAAAGCCTACATGCAAACACAGTGACCTTGGCTCAGGTCACAGCTGGAGCACCAGCAGGTCAGACATGCAGCACCACTGGTGCTGTGGGCACCAGTGCAGAGCAGGCAGCCTGGACCCCATCACTGGGCCAGTGATATGGTGAGAGCCCAGCACAGAGGACGGCTCAGGCTCCTTGGAGACTGTAGAGTAGAGAAAGCACAGAAGTCCTTAACATTAGGAAGAGCCAGGTCAGGTGCCTGGTCCTGAACCTTCAGCTGTGGTGTTACTGTTACTGCTCCAGGCACACACCTCAGTGAATATGACCCGTTTACATAGATTCACACCCAGATATATTAGGAGATTTTGCAAAGCTTCCTGCTTCTCCAGAGACACTGGAATTACATTCTTCTGTTTTTCCAAACATCAAACAAGCAAAGCAATACTAGTCCTGTCCTACAAAGGACTGATTAGCAAACCACTGCTGTTGAGATAATAATGGGAGCAATGAACCACAAAAGCCAAGTGCAGAAACTCTATAAATAAGTCTCTGATTCAGTAGTTACAGCACAGGACTATGGATCAGGAGCTCTGGAATGGCAGAACCAACCACATGTGCACTAGATAACCTCACAAGTGTCTCACATGCTTCAAGATTTCTTCGTAATTTGTTCCACCAGGTCTTTCTAAAGCCAGCAAAGAGTTATGCAAAGAAGTATCTCTGGCATGTCAGGTAGGTAAATCACCTCCTTCCAGCTGGGGTTCTCTCAACCCAGCATTGTAGACAGTCTGTGAGCAAAGGTTGGTGGGGACATGATCATTTAAACCTTGATTAACTGCTCTGTCTTCATGATGGGGGAGTCTCTGAGAGCAAAACAGACCTCACCTAATATATTGACCAGTTCCACAACTGTTTTTCCCTGCTCCACCCAAACATAAGTCCTGGTTGCTGGGTTTGCAGTATTTTCAGCACCTCTTTACCTTCCCCTTCACCCTCTTATCAAAGAGGTGAACTTCAATAAAGTAGTTCCAGCTGTCTTAAAAAGCGAGGTTTGTATTTCCTGCTTCAATACAGGGTTAAAAACAATGTTTCTGTTCATCACAGAAATAAATGTTAAATGGAAGTTGAGTTATATCTCTCCTGTGACTAATGTTCTAGCTTGTTTTCCAAAGTTAATTCTTCATACACTTTTTTCCCCTTCTTGTTCCTTTTTACATTTATCCAGACTCCTGTGTTCCCATGGGACTAATTACCCACTCAGCAGTTACTCTGAAGTCCAATTGTAATAGCTGGCAAAACTCTGCTCTTCTATGCAAGCTTTTAAAATATTTCCTCAATTTATTTCAAATAGCACCACTCTCTGGAGCTTCTTCCCAATTTGTGTTGCCCTGGACTGAGATTTATTTTGCTGCCATTGAGAGCTGACTGCTTTGTTTGTCCCAGGGCAGATATTCTCAGCAGAATTATTAATAATAAAAAACAGACAAAAAGTCCCAAGCAACTGGATCACTCATATCAAAAATTATCCATTGTGATGCAATCTCCTGTTTTCTCATCTAGTGGGTCCTTAGTAGCAATGTAAGCAATGAAAAACCACTGATTCAGACCTGGATTATTCTTTCTCAAAATACAGATGTGATCATAGTGTTTCCATTCACATCCACTTTATATTGTCTCAAAGTCTGGGGGAGGATTAATTACTTATCCTGCAACCTAAAGATGTCCATTTTCTTATTCTATAGGTGTTTGTGAGCAAAATATTTACCCCTGCTGGTGTTACAAGCAATAATGGAGAGCTAAATTCAGATTATTGGCATATTTTTTTCCCCACAAACACTGCTTGAGAAGAAAATATGTCCCTTCCCAATTCTGCAACTATTTAAATGTCTATAAGGCCAGAAGTGACTCACCTCATCTCCTTGCTCTGCGGTTTCACCTCCTGTTCCTTAAGGATAATAATCTTGGCAAAATACAATACAGAACAAACTGATGTTCATAAAATGGATTTCAAGTGCCTGGTGAAGAAAATATAGAAAAAAAGATTATGAGAAAGTCTTTTTTCAAGACATCTGAATTGTTCTAGAGACAGAGGGAATATGGCAGCTTTTATAAGAAGAGACTGTAATCGCTGAACTGGGGAGAACATCACATATTATTGAGTGGTTTAATTCTTCCACAACCTCTACTTAATGACTTAATGGCTAGTTCTTTGTTTTTTCCCTAGGGAAAAGAGATCTCTAAATCACTGCAAATCACCCAGTTTTTGTCCAAGTGGACCTGGGATCTGTCTTCTGCAGAGATTGGCACAGCAACTCTCCTCAGCTCCAAAGCCAGTTTACCCCAATGATCAAGCCACATTTGGATGGTTTTGCACAAGCTTGCACTTGATGGTGACCATGCTGTGAATGACTGCAGGCAGTCGTGTTTCCCTGGATACCATTAGGGCTCCTGGCCATCAGCAAGCAGCATCTCTCTCTGCAGTGAGGCCTTGATCACACAAACCTGTCAGAGTCAGAGGAAGTTCACTGTGGTAGTTCCCTTTGGAATTCCCGTCTAAATATCAGAGTCCCTAAGGTAAATTCCAGCCCATTTCTGCCCTGCAAAGTGGGAAGCATTGCCACACCAGCCCTTCTCCTCACAGCCTTGGTAACACAACCACTCAAGGAAACTGCTTTTGCTTTTACACCTAGGAATAAACTAGTTATCTCTATCAGAGAAGACAGAAAGGATGTTGCTTTTGAAATGTCAAGGTCTTCACTTTTCGCATGCAAAGTCTGTTATATTCACAAAAATTTGTTGATGGGACCCACAGTAAACCAACATAGCAGCGCCAGTTCTAACCAAGGGTTTCACTGGTGGGCTTAGCAGCAGCTAATGAAATCAATTGCAAACTCTGGATCCTTTTAGCAAAATTGATTTGGCAGTTAAATATCCAATTTCAAGACTTGTCTCAGTCACATTTCCAGCTCAAAATTACAGATATTTAAAGATACCTTACCTCTGCACCTATATGTTAAAAACCAATATCCCCCATTTTTTAAGGCTAGCAATTTTTTAACAGCTTTCTACATCTTACAGTTATTTCATTTCGTGAGCCAATAAAAATATTCCTGCTAATGTTACAGACTCTTTTTTCACTCTGCCCAGTTCATACCCTACATGTGGCCACATCCTGGGAGCAGCTACCAGCAGCAGCCCTGAGCTGGCTAAAGGAGAGGATGCACAGCCACAGGCACACTGGAACTCCTCCTGCTGGATTGACAACTTGGAAAATCTCAATATTTCCAAAATCCCAAGTTGGGAGCTGTTCTTAATCTGTCATCAGCTTTTTAAGAAGAATCTAAGAACTGTCTGGGCATTCGTATAAAAATTGAAACGTCAAGCACTCCTTCCTTCCCCCTGACCTTTGTGCAGAGCTGTCAAAATGGACCATGGCTCGGGCCAGCACACAGCTGGCCAGATCAGGAACAGCATTTCATGGAGCTGGGGCTGGATGCAGGCTGGGTCTG